AAAATAAAAAATCGGTTTATAAATAGATAGGTTATTAAAATGTTATTACGAAATTGTACTTTTATTAAACTTTTATTAAACAGATAAAAGCATTTTTTTTTCGCCTATATGAGCCATTTACCTATTATAAATTAGATATTAACTAAATCACATCACATCACATCAACAGCCTTTAATAGTTCACTGCTGGACATAGGCCTCTCCTTAGAAAGGAGGGTTTATTAACTAAATAAATTTTATGATTATTACATTTATTCTAAATTACCGACACACACATGAAGAAAACTGAATTGTGCACATACTACTTTATTAAAGTCAGTTAAAAATCACAATGCGTTTTATAAACGTTATTATTTCAAATTAGAAATTACGTATTTTCTCTATTAGAACAAGAATTGAAAAGCGCCAGTATCGCCTGTGTTATTTGAAATCGATTGAATAATGATACCCTTACACACTGACTGATATCGATTCAATGAAGTTCATGAGTGTTTAAATAATAAAAACACGGTTAACGGTGACATTCAATCAATGTTATTCGTGAATTTTTAAATAGCAAAACGCCGCAATAACAAGGAAATTGGCTTGGCCTTATTTGTTTATTATAAGAATATCTTCAGACATATGCTAGCTATGGTAACCCGACTTGAGAAAGGGACTCCAAGGGCGGCAACGCACTTGTGACTTTTGAGTTGCAGGTGTCCATGGGCGGCGGTTGTTGCTTACCATCAGGTGACCCGTCTGCTCGTTTGCCCCCTTATACCATAAAAAAATGACTGCTGATACTTATAAATTTCTAAATATATAAATTTTACATGTTGTAGACTATTTTACACCCAGATATAAAACAAATGATGGTGCTCATCACCTATTTTTTTTGATTTTGGTTTTTGAAGCATGCACAAACAACTTTACATCATCATCATCATCATCAGCCTATCGCAGTCCACTGCTGGACATAGGACGATTTTGGGCTTCTCGCATCCAACTTTACATAATTATTTATATTTTTAGATTATTCTATTTCACTCAAAAGATTTTAGAGGCCTCTGTAATTCAGTATGTTAGAGGTAACGCTAAGTTAAACATTTCTGCCTACACCCAACCAGTATACTTCGCAATTTCCCCATTGTTTATTCCTGCTCGATGGTTATAAGTTTACCCCCTAATCTGTAAGCGGGTTCAAGTTTTTAATACAACTTTGGGGATCTCTCGGGCAGATTATCATGAGTATATTTTAATTTGACTGCCCCGAGGTCGTGGGTTCGATTCCCTTGACAAATAATTGTGTTATGAGCACTATTATTAGTTTTGTGTCTGATTCTATCTATGTATATCTATAGATGTAATGTATAGGACATTAGGAAATGCTACTAGACACATTAAAAGTATTTGCATTGATGGAGGATCGAACCCGAGACATCTTAATAAATGCTAACATGTTTAAATATATACATATCTGTTAAATTTTTGAAGTGAAAACTTCTTTAGGTGCGTTGGGCATTTTTGAACAACAAACAAAATAATGTATTTTGTGATGGGAAAAAACCTTAGACTACACGGAATGCGTATCTGTTAAAGCGGTCGCCACGCCGCTTTCTACTGCGCTGAGTGTTGTGGGTTCGATCCCCACATGGGACATCACTTTGTGTGATTCACAAATTGTTGTTCTGAGTCTGGCTGTTCTTTGTGAAAGTTTCATGTATGTATGTTTGTAAAGTCCCCCGCAACAGAGGATATATGCTCCTAATGCCTTTAAAAATTGTCTTTAAAAAAAAAAATATATATTCATGTCGGCACTTTTCGAATCGAAAAAAACAATCTTTTACAAATTTTCACTTCTGTCGGCACTCCCGGAGTGCCCCTGTTTTTTTAAACTGCTGATTGATCTTATTTGTCTGTTTGTCCGTAGGTCAACTCAAACACAATGGACTTAGCAACAAAAATAAAGACTTTGATCATAAGCCCACTTATTCTGTGGGTTTTCAAAGAGGCTTTACCCCTCTTCGTCCTTCACTCACATTCCAAAATAAAGTAAGTATAAATTTAAAAACGGAAGAAGAGTGTGGTAGATGGTATGTAATAATTCGCTAAATCCGCCTTATTCATCACAATATGTAGGCAGTGTATATACAAAAACAAAAAGAAGAATAACACACAATCGCCAGACAAAACTAAGTAAGTTTTTTTTCCCCTCGGATACCACTTATCGGTGGCATGTCGAGCTCGAACCGATAATAAACCGCACGCCGTCTCGGGTACTAATGGCCGGGGAACCAGGTATACCCTAGAAAGGAAGTCCCTGGTGCCCCGACATACCTCGGGCCATCTACAGACGAGTAGACGACCCCCTCCATGTGGGAACCCCATGTTCCCTCTGCTCCCTGGAAGCGAGCGCGCTTCGCAACGCGCTCGCCGCCACCCCGGCCTGCTTCTGCTAGGGTGACAGATGGCCTCACCTGTCACCCCCAGGCCTGTGCTTATGGAGGACGGAGGTCGTTCTGCGACCGCCGGCGCCTGAGAGACAAAACTAAGTCCTAAAAACTTAACATATAAACAAAAATATTTTTGTTTTTTAGGTCAAAATGCTTTGAGGGTCCTTATTCCACGGTGATGTCGGCAGTTAATGTAGTTATTTCAGAATTGGTAAGTTTGCTATGGCATTTTTATGTTATTGCAACCCTAGCACTAAGGATTTTTTTCTAAATGATGTTCCAGGAGAATATCTTTATTACACGCTTTATATTAGCTTCACTTGTATGTTTGTAACCGACTCCTCTGGGCGTGATTTTGACTGACTTTAAACGGTCAGAATTCGTTCAAACTTTGTAGTTATATCGAGGACCGATGACGATACACTAATAAAAAAAAAAACATTTATTTTTATTAGGCAATCAACGGCGAGTACACTGATATAATGTAGTTACAAATTTATAAATCTTAGGACTCAGTATCTTGCTATCAAAATAAATCAAATATAATCAAATGTAATCCTATCTCGAATTGGATGAAAGAACTAGAAAAAAATAATTGTGGATCCTGTGGCTAGTGATTCAGTTCGACTGCCCGGATGGCGTAGTGGTTTAAGCGGTCGCCACGCCGCTTCCTTTGACGCTGAGTGTTGTGGGTTCAAACCCCACATGGAACAACACTTTGTGTGATCCACAAATTGTTGTTCTGAGTCTGGGTGTACTTTGTGTCCGTTTCATGTATGTTTGTAAAGTCACCCGCGACACAGGAATTATTCCTAGTGCGGGAGTTGCCTTTCTAATTTAAAAAAAAAGCAAAAAGTTTCCTTATTTGACTGACATAGATCATTTGAACAAGCTTTTTTTTTTGTTAGATAAAATCCCTAAACTTTTTTTTATTTTTTACTATTAGTACGTAGAACTGACTTTTAAATAAAAAAAGTCGTTTTTAATTTTAGAACATCGTGTAAGTTAGTGTGCGTCCGTGTTAGTTAGGTAATTAGTTGTCCGTGTGGTGACGGATTAAGAATACGGAGTGTCACCTCCCCTATTCATCCCCTTGGTGTAAATATGGGAGCAAACTACACACTGCAAACAACAACAGAGAATGAAAACTTGACACAAACCCTTTTCATGGGCATGGGCGGCGGATCGGGTCCGAGTGGAGGTCGTCCTCCCGGGCCTTCTCCGCCGCCTCCTTCCGCGAGATTACTTCCTCGCAGAAGGTTGCGACCGCGGTAAAACAACTGTCGCTATCGGCCATGGAGCGTACTACGGCCGGTAGCGAGAGATCCACTCCGATGACTGCAGTGAGGGCCCGGCGCTGCGTCGCCCATGCGGGGTAGACCGCCAGCGTGTGCTGGGCTGAGTCCTCACTGCAGTCGCAGTGGTGGCAGGCGGGACTCAGTTCCCTCCTAGCGACCGAGTGCAGGTACTTTCCGAAGCAACCGTGCCCGGAAAGCACCTGCGTCAGCCGGAAGGTAAGGGTCCCATGCTGCCGCCCTGCCCACTCGGCGATGACCGGCTGGAGAGCCTCCACGGCGGCGAAGCCAGCGCGTGGAGTCTCCAGCCGGAACGACCAACGAGCCATCGTGGCTCGGCGAGCGGCTTCGCGCCACTCGCGCACGTCTTCGGGCGGAGGGCGAAATCCGCTCTCCGCCCGGGAGTCAGCCACTCGCCGATAAACTTCGGCGAGCACTTCCGCCTCCAAATCCCACGGGGGAGTTCCAGCCAACGCGCAAGCCACCTCCGTCGAAACGGTGCGGTAACCGCGTATGGCTCTTACCGCCAATACCCTCTGAGGGCGCCAGAGGCGTGCCCTATTCTGGGCGGTCAGAGCCGCCGCCCACACCGGTGCACCGTATAGTGCCATTGACCGGACAACCCCCGTGTACAGCCGTCTTGTGGCGACGCTGGGTCCACCCAAATTGGGTAAAAGTCACCCTAGGGCAGACGCAGCGCCGACCAGCTTTGGAGCAAGCTGTCGGAAGTGCTCGTCGAAGAGCCACCTCCCGTCGAGGATCAGACCCAGATACTTCATCTGGGCCTAAACCGGTACGAGGACCGAGTTGACCACGATTGAGGCGCCAGGGGATGGACCACGACTGGGCCCATGAAATAAGAGAGCCTCCGTCTTATCTAGGGCCACCCGTAAGCCCAGCGCCTCAATGCGCCCGACCACCAGGGAGACTCCCCTTGTGGCCAGGCGCGTTACCTCTTGGAAGTTCGCCCCCCGGGCAGTCACCAGAGTATCATCTTCGTAACAAATTACACCCAGCACAAACCCTACGTACCACACAAACCCTATACCAACCCGACTGCCCGTCTTTTTTAAAAAAAGATGGCCAGTCATAAATAAATAAATAAAGTATTCTCAAAGAATCGATTAAGATTGAATAGAACTTAATTAAATTTATTAACTCCATGACAAATAATTTGCAGAATGGCACATACCACGTAGAAACACAATTCTTTCAAGAACGAAACAAAATCATGAGAAACAAATTTTTAAGATATTTGGTATTTAACAATATGGTGCTGGTTCTGGTGCTGGTTCTCCTTATTGTCGGGGTCATGCTGTAAGTACTATTTCGTACAATTTATTATCATTTATTTTATTTTTGAAAAGACTTCCATAAAAGGATATTTAAAAGTTTGGAGTGATTTTATGACTAATATTGTATGGTCATGGCAACCGTTGCTTATGGCAATCTGCAACTAAAGAGTCATGTGTTCATTCCGCCCCCGGGGTTACGATAATCATGTTTACTTAGAGAAATGCAAAGAAAGAATTGGTTAACTCCGGTTTTCTGTGAGGCCGTGGCATTAATCCTGTCGAGCCGGACAATGTGTGCTGAACTAAGGCTCTTTCACGTTGAACCCTGCTGCAGTGTTTGTGTTGTGTTTTGCGGGGCAGAGCTAGATCATTTACATCCAACGCTGTGATCGGGGCCTCAATAAATAATTTCCTTATAATTTGAAAATATATTACATTTTTTTGAAGAAATGATTTATTTATTTTTCCAAATATGGCAATCTTTTTGATATCACCACTGATGAGCCAACTGCCATTCCATCGCTTCTCTAAAGACAATGAGATAGTGTAGACTACCGATATTTATACCGATGCCAATGGCCACTCGATGGCATCTCAATAGCGTGTCAGTGGTATGACATTGGCTTGGCGTGAACATAAAATAGCAGAATTAAGGCCCGGGTTTTATGTATTTTTTTTTTGTTTACAGATACATGCCGCTAATTCTAGGTCTGGTGAATACTCCGGACATCATTCATACTCGTGACATGAGGTTGGTGTAATATAATAAACATTATTTCTTTTCAGTGTAGGCCAGTTATGAATAATACTGTTTTAGATTAAAAGAGTCAACAAAAAATTATAATACCATGAGAATATTTTAAAATATGCATAATGATTTGTCGTAATAATTAAAAGATGATACCGAAAAAATGTCCAGAAAAAGCAGAAAATAATAATTATAAAACCGACCAGAATGGCGCTAAAGGTAATGTTATGAACATAGCAGTTATAGACAGAGTGACAGTGATAATTATTTATATATTCAAGTCGATGATTGCCTATGTTATATTTATTTAGGGCGCCATTAAAAGTGCTTTAATGGCACTATAATTTAACGCTTTTTGACAAACACTTTTTTATACACAGAGATTGTCCGAGATAGTTTTCTTTACCACTGCCCTCCATAGTAATATTAATACAAACTGACAGCTGTCAGCTTGCTCATCGGTTAACGACGCAATGGAACATGACGTGATCAGTGCTTAAAGTCTCATAATGAGACATTTTATAGAACAATTAATCGATTTTATAAAAGTAGAACGGCAGATCCTGTACCCCTACTAATTTATAATGGATGGTTATGAGATTAATTGTGCCGTTTATAAAGTGAGTCATCCTAACTATTTTCATGTAATTATCATGTTTTTATAACTTTGCTATAAGTGAATAAATTATTCTCAAAGAATTGTTATAACTTTAACTAAACGTTCAAGTTCAAGTATAAATTACATAAAAAAGATGTGTTTACATCGAGATGAATGAATGAGCTCGCTACTGTATTTAACAGTTAACAACAAACATTTCTTCATTAACAATGTTGACCGTACAGATTACATGAAGTAAATTAAGAATACATGAAATTAATTAAGTTAAATTAAGGGTATTTATAACTTTTATTCAAATCGATTAGATTAATCGTGAACGTAATGTAAAAACAGTTGGTAAGCTGTTTTGACAGGGCAACATTTTATTGACAGATCAAGAAAATCGTACACAATTGATTTTTAAAGAAATCTAGGTTAACCTTATTGACAGCAATGACAACTCAAGCTGTCATTGGTATCGACTTCAGTATGTACAACCTACATTCAAACTACAAACTGAAATAACTTTTGAATGCAATATTCTAAAAATCTGGTGATTATAACCCGGCAACGTCGTGCGCGACCGTCCCGCGGGGTGACAGACAGTGGCGGGGGCGAGGTAGCTCGTGATTCTAGCACACGGCTACACACGATTCCCTTCCCCGCTACACCACCCGCTACCCGCTGACATCTTGAGTACCTCGTTCCCGCCACCGTCTGTCACCCCGCAGGACGGTCGCGCACGACGTTGATGGACTATAAAACTGTAATTGTTAATGATATTACCAGCCAAATAAATACAACAATAATCTCTACCATGCGATACGCAAGGCGGTACAAAAGGCCCATACATGGCTGCCATTTTCCTTTATGATAGAGTCAAATAAACGAAAAAGGTAAAAGTTTATCCACTTGCATTTGAGTGGTCCTCGGTATTTGTGTGTTTTGATCAGTGTATTGATGTAAATATTGTTCTTCATTTTATTCGTGATCAATCAAATCAAGTTCATTTATTACCAAAAAGAAAAGTACAAAATATGTGATACATTGTGTGTGTGTGTGATGGACGCGATTTTAATCAATATCGAATAATTTGCCGAACATTTTCAGTTAAATAAGAAAAAAGTTTTACTTGCATCGTGGTTTCGTAAAACCATTCCACTTTTCATTCTATAGGGGGGCAAACGAGCAGACGAGACTTGAAGGTAAGTAACTACCGCACCTACACTTGACTACACGGATGGCGTAGTAGTTTAAGCGGTGGTCACGCCGCTTCCTGCTACGCTGAGTGTTGTGGGTTCGATCCCCACATGGGACGACACTTTGTGTGATTCACAAATTGTTCTGAGTCTAAGTGTGCTTTGTGTCCGTTTCATGTACATATGTTCGTAAAGTCCCCCGCGACACGGGATATATTCCTAATGCGGCAATTGTCTCCCCAGGATCAGGGGGAGAAGAAGGGTTTGGGCTCCGGTAACCTCACTCAATCAGTAAAAAGCAACAAAATAACTGCTTAACACCGGTTTTCTGTGAGGCCGTGGCCGTATTACTGCGGTCAAGCCTGGCCCATATAAGTTCACCATGGATAAAAGAAAGATGAGGATTAATACCATCCATGTGGTGACAGAATAAGAATACGTACCTTTCCATCCGGTCGTCTTAAGAGCCGAATTAGGGCGCAAACTACGAAGAACTGCAAAAGAAGGAAAACTTGACACAAACCCCATACCAACCCTTCCAGCTAGCGTGGTATAGTAGGCCCAAACATCCTTTCCGGGGAGAGGTCTATGTCCAGCAGTGGACTATTGGAGGCTGTTGATGATGATGAGAATTAATACAGTCAAGTTATAGGTTACGTTAATCGTTACGTTACGTGTAGTCAGCAACAAATGTCAGGATGATGCAAAACAAAACTCATCCTTACTTATAAACGTGAAAGTTTTTTGTTTGTTATTCTTTCATGCCTAAACCACGATAACCGACAAACACGTGGGAGTAGCCGCTGCCAAAAACAGGTGTTATTATCAAAATGTAAATTTTAAATATGTATTTTTTCAGAACAGACAAAAAGCTGAAGGCAATTAACTCTATACCGAGTATGCTGCTGAACCCCTTTGAATACTTTTTTGGAATAAATATGTCTTGCGAAGAAATTCAAGATGACACAATGCCGCTTTTACTTGATGACGAAGATCCAAACTCACCTGAAGCAAACGCTGTGCCTGAATAAGTTTTGGTTACAATAGTTTAAAAAGCAGATTTGAAATCAATGACAACTTGGAGTAGGAAGAATGAAATATGTAAAAATAGGCCTAAGTAGGTAATTTGAATTTTGGTGTCATAAAAAAACAAAAAAAAAACAAAAAAATATGTGATTATTCTTTAGTAATAGTTGTCTATCTCAGTTTACATTCTACATTTTATTTGTTATTTTTTATTGCGAAACAAAAAATACTTAATATTTTTAATTTTCATGCGTTTCCATTCGAAGATAATCCGGAAGAGCTAGCTTTTTCGATATGGTTTTATATTGTTTGTATTATCTCATTAGCTGTGATTTATTTGGTACAAAATGTTTATGTTTATGGTTGATTAGTAATTCAGCTTCGTGTTAAATAATAAGGTTGTAAATATTTGGTGTTTTTGTATAAAATAGAACTAAAAAAAGCCATTTCTTTTATGTATAGTTAAAAATATTTGTGAAATCATTATTTCTACTTCACCAGCTTACCTTTTACATAATTTTGTTCAATGCATAAAAGTATATATAAAGTATATTTTAAATCTCTTTGGAAATAATATTGCCATGTCTATAATAAACATAACAGACTTATATGATAATAATTATATGATATATACATACATATATATATATATATATATATATATATGTATATATACATACATATATATATATATATATATATATATATATATATATATATATATATATATATATATATATATATATATATATATATATATGTATGATATATACTATACCATATATATACCATACCAAATACCCTGTCCTAATGTACTACTGTCAATTTCTTTTACTTATCTAGTTATATGATCCGCATATACACAACTAAAATACTTAATATCTATTATAACCGTTTCTTTTTATAAAAAGATGACAATAACATTTGTTTTTAATAGGTATGTATTATATAATATGTATATACCACATTCAAAAATATTATCAACAAAAACGTACCATACCACTAGACATTTTTATCGACTTAAACATTCTGGTTGTCACTGTCTTATTGTATTTTGTAAAATGTTTTCGCCTTAGTTTATAGACAGATAACGAAGTGTACAGATAAGATAAGATGGACAATTATGTTACCATATCTCAACAATTAATAGAGGATTACCTCAGGGGCCTATGCTTGGACCTCTTAAAGTTTTGATTTATCAATTTCATTACCCGGATTTAAATACAATAAAAGTGATGTTACTGCTGTACCGAATATTCTGTTATAATTACTTGTATAAGTTATTGAAATAATTAATTAAGTAAATGTTACTTTAGCAATTTATATACATATATAATTGTGTAGTACTAAGTTCCATTATGTAATCAAACTGTGATTAATGTACAAACTCATTTTTGTTCCATTTTGATACAATTGATATACTAACTTTTTCGATCATTTTTTACATTAATTGTTTTTAAATGACATATATTACCAGTACCTTATAATCGCCATGACATCATGACTACCGTTTCAGCTATCACACGTCTTTTATTGGATATGGCTCTTTGTCTCATTGTCATTCAAGGCGTGGCCTGCATTCGCCGCTGACCCATAGATACGTTGCAAGGTCTTCCGTTAATTTTGGTCTATGGGCGGTAGTGGTCACTTTATATCCGGTGACCGGTCTGCTTATGTAAAAGTACAAGAGTAATATTTCCCGTACAAATCTTGAGTGCTATATAGATATGACGATATGTAAAAGTAGTGAGTAGATGTATAGTTATATGTGTTTTGTAATACCCTTTGTAAATAAACCCCTTCCCCCCAATGGTCTATTTATTACGCCCTTTTAAATAAATTATATTTAGGATTATTGTTGTAGATATACTCTAGACTCTTTAGGAAAGACTTTTTTTCTACTACAATAAGCCTGAATTATGTTTTTTTTTAAAGAATAGTACTAGGAATAAATCCTGTGTCGCGGGGGACTTTACAAACATACATGAAACGGACACAAAGAACACCCAGACTCAGAACAACAATTTGTGTGGATCACACAAAGTACTGTCACATGTTGGGATATGACCCACAGCACTCAGCGTAGTAGTGAGCGGCGTGGCAACCGCTTAAACCAGTACGCCATCCGTGCAGACATAATATGACATGACATGAAATATAAATTACAGAATGTGTATGATATAATGAATATTTTGATTAATAATTCGTAATCTTTCTATTTTATTGAAACGAAAATTTACAAATATCACATACATTTGTCGGTCTAGTGGTTAGTGACCCTGTCTTCTAAAATGAGGTCATAGATTCGATTCCCATATAATAATAAATTGAAAGACACAGAACAAATGATCATTTAACAGTAAGAATATCTGTATAGTGGCACAATGTCACTTGATGTTGATTATATCATTTTGTGGATAAGAAAACAACTACAGTAGTGAAAATATTATATTTATAAAACTAGTTATTCAATTATTATACAAATACCATTGAATTACAAATACCCCGTTAATTGGGAAAGGTATTGGTATAAAAAGAAAAAAAGGGTTCCTTTCATTCAAAACAAAAAAACTATTCTAGTCCGATGTACGGGTGATTAAAAATACATTTTATGAGGTAATAAAATTCGCGTTAAGTTTTTTGAGTATGATATTGACAAATATTTTGATAATTCATCATATTCCTTTAAACAGAATGAATAAAATACCTAGTTTTACCTGTATGTTCTTATTATATCGATACTCAGAATACACATAGATACTCTTATAGACGGAAATACAATAGATGAATATATTACACAAGTAACACCAGACTGTAACAATCTACATATGTATATCTCTCTTTCTCTCTCTCTCTCTCTAGGAATAGGTATATTTTCTGAATAGGCAGACGTTAAGTTATTTCCTGCATCTCCCTCGATAACCTGTTTGCAAATTGAATGATGATCAACAAGGTGAACTAAAAAACTCATATTTGTACTTATAATATAGTTGTTGGCGGAGCTGGTCCCGGTGAGAAACCAGTCTGAGACCTGCCAGCCGTTTCACGCACTTGTGTTTGAGGTAATAAGATTTCTGCGGTGGATAAATAATATTAGTAGCGATAACCGTAGGTATGACTTCGACAATATTTATTTTTCTCTCTATTTTCTCCGCTCGAAGGTGATTTCGTGGCCGGATTCTGGGCGCAACAAAGAATCCATCTTCAGTGTCATCTTGTTAACGTCTGCTGTTACTTTAAATTTTCTTAAAAGGTGTACCAAGGTTATTTTTAATGATATCATGGCGTAGACTTTGCCTGTGAAAGAAGGTACTGATTATTTTATATGAACGAGAAAGGATATGTGCTGATTTATGATGCTGACCATATTAACACAACGCCATCTAGTTCCAAACTAAGCAGTGCTATGTGTACTAGACAACTGATATAAATACATATTATTTACTTTTTTTTGTAAATACATACATATTATACATATGTTTGACTTGAGCAAGAATCACACACGTTACACAAACCACTACGCTATCCGGTCGTCAAAAAAAATCTTATTCCAGCGAATGTCCTTAGACAGCTATACAACTTACTTCAAAGATTGTTGAAACGAAGTTCCTTATCGCGCGTTGTGAAATGGGGCTAGACGGAAAAAAATCTCACGAAAACTTGTAACGACACTTTTTGCTATAGTAAGCTATTGTAAGCTGTGAGGCGTGCGCATGTTTCTCTGTCTGTCTCTCTCTCTTATAGAAAGCAAGCCAGATATTTTCGTTTCGTCTTTCTATTTTTACATTATATTTGTTAATAATAACAAAAATATTATTATAACTTAAAAAAAATAAAAATTTATTACAATTCCTTCACTAATTAATAGAAAGGAACTTCGTTCTATCCGGGTGTCCCTTGACACCTCTCAAGTCTTTTTTATCTATTTTTCACGTTCGTTTTGTTGTTCGTTCACATTAATGCAACGACAGGTACAGCTAGCTACTAATAATAATCAGAAAAGGCACCAGAAAGTAAAGTTACTGCGGTGTTGCAACTGTCACTCAAACTCGTCTTTACAGTAAACAGAGTGACCTATATCGGTTTTTGGTGTCACCAATCGGTTTGGTGTGGCCAGAGGGCCACTTTACCTCTTGACAAAGAGCTCCCATAGGATCCAAAATTGATCGGTTATACCAGAAGTCATCGCATAAAATTCGGGTAAAAAAGCACTCAAACTAATTGAGTATCTTTTCCTATTTTAAAGTCGTTCTAGTTTATATATATATATATCTACATCTTGATTATTCTAACGTCAACAATAATGTTTTTATGGACTATATAACATATAAACCTACCAATGCACGTCCGATTCCCAACGCCAAAGCCGGCGAATGATTTTTGAAAAATTAGCAACTTATCAGGATCCTGCCATCGCTCAGGTCTAAAATCATCAGGATCTGGTCCCCATAGTGGATGTCTGTGTATACTCCATACATCAATCACACATGAGCTACCTGCTCTGAATACATAGTTTTCTGAAAAAATAAATTTGATTAACCTATAGTTGCCTCGTCTAGCTGACTTAGGGTATAATTAATGATAAATTCAAAATACATACACAAATGACTATATCTCCGAAGCGGTAGGTTGAAGAATATTAAATGGTCACATTATAGTTTTTAAAAAACAACTATAAGTCAGATTAATCAAATATGTATTTCCATTAACGCGGGGCTAAAGGGCAAAATTAGTAGTATGTTGAAAAAAAATGTGGGTGTCGTAAGAGTCGACTAAGGGAGCAAACTATGCACGACAACAGCACCGCAAAGAGAAGGAAAACTTGAAACAAACCCTATACCAACCCGTCCAGCTAGGGAGGTGGCCAAAACCTCCTTTCCAAGAAGAGGTTTATGTCCAGCAGTGGACTATTAAAGGTTGTTGATGATGATGATGAGTATATAATAGGACAAAAGTACGGTACTTAATTTGATATCTTTAGTAGCTACTCTTGGGATCGCTGGGCCGATGGGGTACAATCGAAGTGTCTCTTTTATAACACAATCTATGTAAGTAAACTTTGATATGTCTTCTTTTTCGACGTCTCGATCATTATCTCCCATTACATCGAGTATTCTGTAAATGTAGGCGAAATTTAGTTCAAATTAAATAAAACTATGAAATCTTACAGTTTACTGCAAGTAATTAAAGTAGTTCGTAATTTTACGAACTACTTTAATTAAACTCAATTCAATTCAACTCGTACTGCTGGGCCTCCTCTCAATTTGAAAGGAGTTAGTTAAACAAAAGTCCGTGTAGTGACGGATTAGGAATACGGAATGTCACTACCCCAATTCATCCCGTGGGTGTCGTAAGAGCCGACTAAGGGCGCAAAACAACGCAGGACACCAGCACTGCAAAAAAAAAGGAAAACTTGACACAAACCCTATACCAACCCGTCTGGCCAGCGTGGTATAGTAGTCCAGAACCTCCTTTCTATGGAGAGGAGAGGATGATGGAGGAGGTTTGCGATTTCAACGTATTTATCAAATACAAGAGTCTCTATACTCACTCCTGGTAAACTTTCTCTTGTCTCGGCTGGTCAGAGCCAAGTAACACCAACAGAAAACTTAAGGTCATCGCTAAAGTTTCATGGCCGGCAAATATAATAGTGTCTAATTCTTCACGCATTTCCTTTTCGGTCAGTAAGCCTTTCTTTATAGACAATTCTAGAACAGTGTCCAGTAGTGGTCTGAATTGATCTGTGCAGAGGTTAGATGAGTGTTAAGGTCAGGAAAGCAGGACTAACTGAATGTAACATGAACATTTACAAAATGGATGCCATCATGAAGATACTATTCTTGGCCATGGACATCTACAGCAAAAACAGATGCTTCTCCAAAAGATTTACTGAAATAATACAATAGCGTCATCTTAACAGATTATATATATATATATGTAACCCTTTAAGAAGGTTATTAGTTCATCTTCTCCAATAGCTGGTCCAGTTACAGCCACTTCATCTTGGTAATAGTCATAAACTGAGTCGTTAACTTCAGTTTGCTTGGCTTTGGAATCTTGGAGAGAAATACTATGCTTGGGGCTCGTCATAACTCTTTCGATAAAGTTCAGTTCTTTAGATAAATGTCTATTATTAAAGCAAATAAAACTAATTACCTTGTGGTTCTAAGTCCTGTTTCATCTTCTTTATTTCCATTTTTCTTTTTTCCAGAATCTGGTGGACCGAAACAAATACTTAATTGTTAAACGAATAGATATATAATATAATACAAGTACAATCACGTATTTAAAAAGAATTTATTTTGTTTTATTTTACTTACAGTAGTAGTAAATTGATTATTTGTTTTAAAATTTCGTAATTGTACATATTAGATATATGTATAAATCGAATATCAGTCAGTCGTGTCGTGACCACAATCTGACCTTTGGACGTTAAAAAAGCTTTTATAAACTTATTAATACTTTGTTTCAGGTCTCTTTCGTATATTATCTGTTTAACTACAGAAGTTCATTGAGTTAGGGGTAGAGTCATCCTCATACCAAATGGATTGCATGTTTTAAGATGCCTGAATGACTGCTGCCGATGGTGCATGAATTTCTCGATCAAGGCTTCTGTCGATCACGCCGAGAACAGACTAGGTAGCATGATCAATAAGTATAACCGAAAAATTATCTTTTTAATGAAACTAAAAGATTTAGTATCTAGGTCCTCCATTTATTAAAAGAAAATACTAACCGCAGTAGATAGTTTATGTAAGCCTTTTATTATCGTATCTTGTTTCTTCTTCACAATTGAGAAATAGAAAATAAAATCACTGTACAGCCAGAATTTCATAAATCTTTCATACATGGTTACGAATATATCTCGTATGGACTTTCCATATTCTGTGATTAAATCCTGGCGTTCATTGGTGTTGAGCCCTAATGATGTTTCTGGAAAAATCGAAAAAAAATGAGATTTTGTTACTAAAGAAGTAGAGTATTTTACAGTTTCTTCCGGTTCAATTATCTTCAAGTAGTATTTTACAGCTGAATGTCGGGTTTAGTTTGAAAATAATAATAATGTATCGTCATCATCATCATCAACAGCTTTTACTAGTCCACTGCTGGACATGGCCTCTTATTAGAAAGGAGTTTTTGGCCTGCTACACCACGCTGGCCAGACGGGTTGGTTAGGGTTTGTGTCAAGTTTGCCTTCTCTTTGCAGTGATGTTTTCCTGCGTATTTGGTGGTCCAGAAGGGTTTGGCAGCCGTGAACGTCAGTACGTAGTTGCTGCAAAGTTTAAATTATAATTAGGAATCGGGTAGTATCCCTAAGACTAAGGGAGAAAATCCCATATTTGGCTCTTACGTCACCCATGGAATGAATCGAGGTGGTGACACTCCGTATTCCTAATTCATTACCACACGGATGTTGTATGGTAATAATATTATTAAGAGATTAGTATAATCATCTGCCTGAGCGTTTTATAATTTCATTTTAGGTCGGTAAAATATATGCCTAATATTGGAATGTTTATAAAGAATGTTCACATGTTTACAAATATTACCTACTTAACTAGACTGGAGTCCAGTCGTGTAATATTTTTAATGTGTACCATTTTTCTCCTCGCCTTTTTGCAATTTCGTGGAATTCTTGAAAAGGGACGGTTGAGCTAAACATGACTTGACCAATGAGCGTAAGCTGTTCTAGAGTTGGCCTATTTCTAAGACCAACGTTAAAAATATGACCATGTGGCACTTACTGCAGATAGTTTCCAAATTGTTTTTGGAAAGCAATGGTTCGGGGTCAAAGGTTTTCTCTTGCATATCAAATCTGTCCCTTAGACATCGTGCTTGCGTATTAAATACGGGTATGAGTCCATTCATGATTTGTTGTGTGAATGCCAGATTCATAATCTTCCGATGGGCTCGCCATGTCATTCCTTAAAATAAATGTTAATATTGTTTAAGTTTGTGGAGCAAGAGAGCAGGCGTTTCAGCGGATGTTATGTGTTATTTTCTGGTAACCCCGTATACCTCTGCCCATGGACTCTTGCAAATCAGGAGGAGCACAAGTGCGTAATCGGCTCTAGAGCCCCCGCCACGATATGATAGGTTCCTTTATTTTATTTTCTTTATATCTCCCTTTTTTAATTACCATGCTTTGATAAGCTTTACTTCTTCTAACCAAAAAACTAACAATGCAGACAAATCTCAGAAGTAAACTGTTGATTGCATGGACTGCGTAGTGTTTTAAGCGGTCTCCTCGCCGCTTCCTACTGCGCTTAGTGTTGTGGTTTCAATCCTCTCATGGGACAACACTATGTGCTCCACGAATTGTTGTTCTGAGTCTGGGTGTTCTTTGTGTCCATTTCATGTATGTTTGTGAAGTCCTCCACGACACAGGATATATTCTTAGTGCGGGAGTTGTCTTTATTAAAGAAATTAAAAAAAATAAGATAAGATTCTGACTATGCAAGTATTTATAGTAAGATCATATTCATCATAATGGCCCTATGACCCGATGGCCCGGCAATAGGCCCGATGAATGACACAAAGGGATAGAAAATTCCTGTTTTATACGGAATATGATTTTGAACTGGCACAATGAAATTGTTAGATGACCGATAAATATATTTTTCTGTAAGTGATGAATGAAATTATAGGTATCTAATACCAATGACATTTAATTTTATGGAATCCACTTTTTCTGAAACAGACTGCAAAAAACAAACGCGTTAAAATGCCTACAACGGAAACAATTAACGTTTGAAAAAGTTTTAGCGATTTCAACATGATATCATGATATTATCTTACATCATAATAATAATAATTTCACACATCTCAAAAACACATATAAACATACACATCATAGACATCTTACACAAAGACAGAACAAATGATCGTGCTCATCACACAAATATTTGTCCTGGATGGGAATCGAACCCACGACTTTCGGCTTAGCAGTCAGGGTCACTAACCACTAGATGAACAGGCCCGGCAATTGAATTGGTGAATTGCAATAAACATCATACTTTATTCTTTAGTAAATTTAAATGTGGCAAAACATGAAGTACCTATATGCTATTAAATAAGAAAGAATCTTTCAAATTAGTGTACAAGTGATAACAATAACAAGTACAACCGATTTGAGACTATTTTGGAAATGGATTCTAAAAAAAGGGAATTTCCCTTTCATAGTCACATGCCAACACAGTACAGAGAGCGAAGGGATTTGGCTAAGGGGTAACCTAATAGCTTTACATATTGCAAAGTCAAGCAATGTGTTAACCTACTAAGGACAGGTCAGTCTATAAAATAATAAAATGAAAAATTTCGGACATCTGACATACAACGCCATCTAGTTTCAAACTAAGCAAAGTTAAAAAAAAAAAGAGAGAGAGAGTGTAGAGGTCTGATAGAAGTCGCTCCATGTAAAAAAAAAAGCTTGTAGTATGAAAACTAGATTGACTGATAGAATACTTTTATACTTGTTTTTGTAAATACATACATATTATACATAGAAAACATCCAAACTCCGAAAGAAATATTTGCAAATCATACATATATTTGTTCCGACCCGGGAATCGAACCCGAGACCTCAACACAGCAGTCGCACACGCTACCACTGTGCCACCGAGGCAGTTAAGTCTATGGACGGGTGACCATTTCTTAACACCTGGAGACCCATCAATGCCTCGCAGAGCACGTTAAGCCATCGGTCCCGGAATGGTTACGGGCAATTGGAGCCCTAAAAAAAACAACAAAAGTCTTTCTACAGAACTTCGATATCGCCGAGGATTGGATTTCAGATACGAAGATATATCGTAGTAGATTTAAATCTGACCCCGAACAAGTTTGCGAAAAAAGCTCGGAGGAAGATGGTTGATGGAAGATCTTGGAGACATACATACCTGAGGCAGTGAACAAACCGTTGCCTAACCAAGGCTTCGCGATGTCATATATAACTTTTTTGTCGACCGAAGAACTTACTATTGTATATGCTTCCTCAGGATCCGACACAACTGAGAAAAAAATATTGCAATGAGTCAGTAGACTTTGCCTTCAGACCGTGGAGTTCAGACAGTGTCCGTACACACGTGTCTACACTAACTCAGTGTCTTTACAGTGGCAATGGAATGGCAGTGGCTCATCAGTGATGATATCAAAAAGATTGCCATATTTGGAAAAATAAATAAATCATTTCCTTATAATTTGAAAATGTATTACGTTTTTTTTAATTTTGGTCCACAAAGTTGTTATGGATTAATCGTATTTATTGATACAAAAGTATAAACTACAACGACATAATACACCGTAATTAATAGAATTATCTTTGCTGTTTTTGTTGTTGTTTAGTTAGTGTAGACTACCGATATTTATACCGATGCCAATGGCCACTCGATGGCATCTCAATAGCGTGTCAGTGGTATGACAGTGGCTTGGCGTGAACATAAAACAGCAGAATTGAGGCCCTGTTGTGATCAAGCACTGTAGAATTGACAGATAATCGCTCGTATTTATGATTGTAGACCGCAGTTTTAACGTGTGACAACTGCCACAAACAAAACATACTGCAACACCACCTACCTAAAACACTGCGAACTACGGAGTAATTACTTATCCTACGTCGCGCAATTAAAGTTCTCGCGTCGATTAGTGTTTCTACTAGTACCGTTGGACATGCTCTGGCCTGGTCATACATTACACCCGTTCCTCTACCCCCTCTGCCTATTCCTTAATCCCGTCAACATGCACAAATAAAATGGTGACCGATAGCATATTACATAAAAATAAATTGTTTTGTACCAAAATAATAACTCACAATATATATGATTATTTGCAATTGATATAATGATAACTCCACCAATTGCCGAACATTCCTGAGAGAGTTTCTTGTAAAAGCTCCAAACATCTAAAAAAAATATAAATCAAAAAATTTGAAAACCCAACTTAAGCACACGCTGATTTATATTATTGAGAGCGATAAATAACCTGAACCGGACCATAAAGCTAACCTGAAAGCTTAGCGAAATGCATAGCTTAGTGAAATAAATTGTGTTAAGAAAACGATAAGAAATCTACTTGCATGTCCGTAAACAATTGATTAGTTACTTTTAATTGGGTAAATAACAATAACTAATCTCATCTATAATGAAAGAAGACATTATGACTATTAAATTTTCTGAAACTGTAATAAAATTTCATGTTACCTCCACATGCATCTATAACTCTGCTGGTTTGAAAAACTATACAGCAAGTTTTTGACGTGACAACGTCTTATAATTCGATGGAGCCGGCTGCACGCACGAAAAAACATGACTCATGCGGCGTTACCGCGCTCTGAGGCGTTCCATTTAAGGCCGCCAGTGCAAGCGAGAGCGCGGAACGAATGACAAAGAGGCACAATCGGCCTCCGCGTTCGGCAGCGTTCGACATCTGTCTCTCTCCTACTTGAGTGAGCGATGCGTCGGCGTGGACAGCTGCTACTCGTATACAATAATACATTTTTGAAAAATGCTACCATTCCATCAGTATTTTCTTATGACGTTATCACGTTCAACTATCGTCAGTAAACCGACTTTACAGACAACCGATTTTTTTTTTGATGTTGGGAAATATAAATTTGCGTAATATTTAGACTTTTTGAATAGTAAGTGATGATGAAGTAAAAAAACAAAATAGATAACTTGTCTATTATTTACTTACTTGTTGTATTGCATCCGAAAAATAAATGCACGTGTCCAATTATTGGAAGCCAGCCGGGAAAAGTGGGAGGATATTGGAATGATAAATTTAAGGCTATGCGGCGGATTATCCATACAGATATATATAAACACACAGGTAGCAGTAATAATAAATACATTATTGAGATAAACCCTCGTTTCTGGTGAAACGCAGATTTAAAAATAAATGAAGTTTTTCAATAAAACAGTCGTTTATGTAAAAATGTTAAAAAACTTCGTCATTCGTAAAAAAATTACCATTCATCAAAATGGTTACTTAAGTTATTTAACACAGGAAACTGATACTTATTTTAATTTTTTGCAATTTAAAATCCATTAGCATTGGAGTAAGAAGTGTAATTTAATATGACAGTATAAATAAGTTAGCTGTGTCCAATAATAATGTGAAATAGGGTTCTTTAGTTGTATTGCACCTAAATACATTTCTCAGAATGTCCATTTACTTGAGAGCACATTTTTAAACACACATATATAAATTTGTTCCATCATAGAGAAAAAGAAACATCAAAGATCAAAGATATCAAAGATAAGAGGCCAAGAGGTCGTGGGTTCAAATCCTGACCAGTAAGCTACCGACGTGAACCCACTCCTAAAACAAGCAATTTAGCTTAGCGGGAGGGGTTAACGGGAATACTAGTAATTTCGGTTGCTAGTAGACCTAAAAAAAAAGAAGAAAAGAAAAAAAAAGAAAAAATATAAAATCAAAGATTTCAAAGATATAAAATTAAAAAAAAATACTGAGGGAGGTTTGTCAGTTGCTAGTTCATTGTAATCATATTTTCAGTTAAGTCAAATGTTGCTTATTATTTAACAATTTCTTACAAAGGAGTTTTTGAAGTGATAACTTCTAATGGGAGGGTAAACCGCTTCGTTACGTGACGCGTTACGGCGCCAGTCTGTCTGGCTTCCCTTTCTCTCACGCAGAGTAAGATAGGAGGAGCCTGCCTACCGCTGCCGTATAGCGGTAGGCAGGCTCCTCCTATCTTACTCTAACCCACAGCGCTAGCCGTATTTCGGACAGACGCTTTACATAAAATTTAAGCTTTTCTCAAGTCAAACAATTTATAATATATATATATATATACAGGATTACAAGAAAAGTCGTGCTAGATCCGTTAAGATCCGTTATCATTTTTGACATATTTCACTATGAAACACCCTACCCTAAACTTAACCCTTTTCGAGATAATCGTCTTTTAATTTTTTTATTGAAATTTGCTGATTTTTAGGCTACACATTTATTTTTGTTTATTTTGTGTATCTTATTATTATTATTTTTGCATTTTTACATGTGTAATAAGATGCTTTAGGATCTCAGTCATTAAAATATGTAGTTCATAAGTTAATTGAATAGATCGTAGTAGACAAGTGAAAGTAAAGAAATAAAAAAAAATATTAGAAAATTATTTTTCTCTAACGGATATCTAAAAACAATATTACGGTAATTGTTCGGCAGATGTTTTTTAAAATATCTACGTTTCATCAGCTATCTAACGAGGTATAATAATCTAAGGTTTTATTCAAATGCATTGAAAAAACTTTAGTTTCATAGGCGACAGTGGAGAAGAAAATTTATACTTAGCCCAAAAAAGTAAAATAAAACAATAGTTAAGCATGAAATGTCATTTATTAAAGGTTTTCACACAACTTTTTCTTATTCTACAGTTCATGTTCAACATGGCCGCCTCTATTTCTGATACATTGTCGCATCCTTCTACGGAGACCAGTCTTCACTACTCCAGTGGTCAACGTGGTCCTCATTTTATTTGCTGCATCCACAATCCTTTCTCGTAAGTCTTCCACAGACGAAACTGGATTCGGCTCGCTGTACACAAGACTTTTCATGCACCCCCACACATGAAAATCCATGGGGGTTAGGTCCGGACTTCTTGGTGGCCATGGCAACGGCTCACCTCGTCCTATCCATTTGTTTGGATAATTTGTGTCCAGCCAGTCCCTGACACTTCTCCTGAAATGGGCAGGGCAGCCATCGTGTTGGAACCACATGTCCCTGATCAGGTTGAGTGGCAGATCATCCAGCAAATCACTCAAGTCTGCTCTCAGGAAAATTTCGTAGCTTTCCCCATTTAGATTATCCGGGAGAAAGTAAGGTCCAATCAAATGATTGGAGATAATGCCCATCCACACATTCACGCTGAATCTTCGTTGGGACCCCTTCACTCTTTTCTTATTGGGATTCCTTAGTTCTTTTGGGGCCCAGTAATGGGCGTTGTGATAGTTAGTTATGCCATCTTTATCAAATTCAGACTAATCCGTCCACAAGATATTTCTTAGAAAATCTGGGTCTTCTACGTCAGCATTCAGCATAAATCTGCAAAAGTCCAATCTTCTCGCGGGGTCTCCTTCTTCAATAACGTGTACCGGCGTGTAATGGTACGGGTATAGGCCAGCAGTATGCACTGTAAACCACACTCTCCATTGCGAAAGTCCCAGATCACGGGCAACAATATTAGTGGAAGTAGTCGGATCCGCTCGAAAGCGTTGCACTATCTCATTGTCCTGTTCTTCGTCGTCAATTCGTGGTCTTCCCATGTCTGTATTTCGTCTCAAAACAGAGCCAGTTTCTCGAAGTCTTCGATAAACTCTGTCAAAAACGGCCACATCCGGCACTCGACGACCAGGGTAGCGAGTTATGTATTCGTTGCGAGCTTGCGCAGACACACAATCGCAGTATCCGTAACAAATAAGCATATCAGCATATTCCTCAGGTGTGTAGGACGTCATCTTCAACACTTCCGTATCACAGGTACAAATCAGAGTCCGGTTAACAAGCACAGTAGTCACAAATCAGAAGAAATAGTCCAGAATCACAGCCAAGTCGAGAAAAAGAGCAAAACGATATCACATCTACTATGTACGAAGCACAAAAGCAGACTGACAACTAGTGACAACCAAACAATGCCCCCTGTTGTATTCCCAGCCCTAACCGGTCTCTACACATTTTTTCTTTCATTCGCACCTACATAAATCGTCACTTGTCTCGCTCGCTTGGTGCGTCTTAACTTGAAGGACAATAGGCGCGTGACCGTTAGAACTGTTACCTGGAGCGTCCCAACTACTTTTTTCCACGAAATGTAATACAAACCCTAGATTGTTATACCTCGTTAGATAGCTGATGAAACGTAGATATTTTAAAAAACATCTGCCGAACAATTACCATAATATTGTTTTTAGATATCCGTTAGAGAAAAATAATTTTCTAATATTTTTTTTTATTTCTTTACTTTCACTTGTCTACTACGATCTATTCAATTAACTTATGAACTATTTTAATGACTGACGTCCTAAAGCATCTTATTACACATGTAAAAATGCAAAAATAATAATAATAAGATACACAAAATAAACAAAAATAAATGTAGTAGCCTAAAAATCAGCAAATTTCAATAAAAAAATTAAAAGACGATTATCTCGAAAAGGTTTAAGTTTAGGGTAGGGTGTTTCATAGTGAAATATGTCAGAAATGATGGGTACTCCACGCCCTTAACGGATCTAGCACGACTTTTCTTGTAACCCTGTATATATATATATATATACATATATATATATATTTAAACTAAATTCCGACAATGGTCTATCTACAAAACTTCGATATTACTTAGAACTACACTCCTCGTAAAAAATGAAGTCCAGCCGTGTCGTAGGAGACTGAAAGCCGTCCCTAACCTAGTTTACCGGCTCGGTGGATAAAAATGATATTTAGTTCGACTTGAGCCAGTGATCGCTTTTAGTTTATTTATTTGGCGGTATGGCCAAAATACTGTACCGACTCACAAGTATTTTCTGACGTTCGAGCCTGTGACATTAAAATATTATAAGTTGACTGCACAGATGGCATAGTATTTAAAGCGGTCGCCACGCCGCTTACTACTACGCTGAGTTTTGTGGGTCTGATCCTCACATGGGACGACACTTTATGTGATCCACAAATTGTTGTCGTGAGTCTGGATGTTTTTTGTGTGAATTAAAAAAGTGGTAATTTTCCCAACTTTGTTCTAACATACCTACATTTTAAAATGGAAACTTTTCATACCAACCCACACTTTGATACCTCTCTTTGACTTTTTAATGGTTACTCGATGCCGTAAATAAGTCCATCGTTTCATCGGATTTCATAAGCGTTTAATTTATACACAAAAAATATACTTTTACAAATTTGTACAAAAAATAACTTTTTGAAGTAAAACTTCTTTACGCACACTGGTCTTGGGGAGTAAGCTGGTGACGAGGAACGTTGCGATAAGTGTGATCTTGCGAGGCGAACGGAAGTTGAGAGGGACATATAAATTAGTGAAGATAGAAAGAGAGAGAGTTACTGTACTGTACTGTAGGGGCAAGAGAGAGGTGCAAGCTAACATTTTCTTTCTCTCTTTCTCTTATACCTAAGAAGTTTTACCTCAGTTAGGTGGTCTAAAGCACACTCGTTTATTGTTAAACAGATGGTATAGAATAGAGAAATCCGAAACAATTGCACAAATTAATTAGAAATGGGTTTAAACGACACTTTCGTCCAGGTCTGTCTAGATTGGCTTTTGCCAGAGTTGTGAAAGCGTCAAAAAATTTGTGTCTAACATTAGACACTAAGACACCTTCCGCAGTCGCTGTGTGTAACAGCTCCGTTGTTCCTGTAAACAATTTGTGAATCACACAAAGTGTTGTCCCACGTGGGGATCGAATCCACTACACTCAGCGCAGTAGGAAGCGGCGACCGCTTAAACCACTACGCCATCGTGACTTGAGTTACAGGTGTTCATGGGCGCTGGTATTCACTTACCACTGATAACCCATCGTTTGCCCCCTTATAGCTTAAAAAAAGCCATTCATAGTGATCTGCGTCCTAAACGAGTTCGGGAACAGACAGACAGAGATAGAATAGTTTTATTGTAGTTAAAACAATGTTTTAATGATTTATTATTTTAATGTCAAATAAATTATAAGGTACATATTTGTTATTATTCTAACTAAACATTTGTAAAATGAAACGATTAATTATCACTTATAATTAATAGAGATCTAGTAATTATCACTATATTTCTTTTACTAAAACAAATATTTTACTTCTAAAATAATAAGTAAATTTAAATATTATTGTCATGTTTTTTCTATTAATACTTAATATCATACTTCACTGTTACCGACCACTCTACCGTTAACCTTGTACTCTGCAAAAACATGTTTAATATAAGATATTTTGCAAAAATACAAAATCTAAAAATTTTGCAAATTGCAAAATATCAAAATTTAACAAAATGCAAAATCTCAAAATTTTGCTAAATGCCAATTTACTATTACAATTTAATTGCAACTGTACTGGGTTGGGCATGGCTTAAAATGGATCATAAATTTACAATTTTTAAACTCGTGTTCTATGAAAATATATATAATTTTCAATGAAATCATCATAAGCCTTATTTATACGGCGTCCATGTTGGATATACGGCACTTACGAATATATATTAAAGTCCTTCGAGTTGCCCGAGGTTTCGACCATTCCTATACACAATCTTATACATTAAACCTTGGCTAACGGTCAAGTGGTTTGTTGAAATGGAACCAATATAAATCACTGTGTAACATTACAGGTGGGTCTACAATTCTACCATATCACCTTCCATATCATCACGAGTCAATGTTTATACTCGACCCCAAGCTGTTTGAAATATTTCTTACCTCACTTTGAATTTGTTTAAATTTCTTTAAAAAGGGATACTAAGAATTCTGTTCATACATTAATATATATTGATACAAGCTATCTTAAACGTTATAGCTACGCAATAAAGTCTATATTACGACAAAACTAGCTTCAAAGGAGGACTTCAATAGACATCCCTCGATTGTTTAAAAAACCGTTAATGGTAAATTACCATTTTCAGTATTTACCGGTACCGATATTAAGTTCGACAAGAACCGATATTTGTCCGATATTTAAATTGCCATAGTGCAGATGCACCTTTTTTAACTTAGTGCAGAATCACACACAGATTAAAATAATAACGACAATTACTGATTTGTTCAAATTAAAAAATAAATGCCAGAATTAATATATTTTTTACATCGAATGAAAATTAATATGGGCACTTAAAACCATGTTGAAATTAAGCTAATTCAAGAAAATTAAATTACTGTTGGGAAATTATTCTAGTAGTGTCATCTCTATCTTTGGGATCTCTTCTTCATCATTCAAACTGCATCCTCGGTGATAAAGAACCCAAGTAACTCATACCAGTTTCTATTGTTCGAGTTCCCGTGGTCTTAGCTTCTACAGTCTTGTCTTCCGAAATCCTTTCTACCAAAGAATTAGCTTCTGAAGTGCCCGCTTCTGAAGTTTTCCAGCAAACGACGGCTCTCATGTCATCAGGTGCTTTGCCAAAGATTCTTTCACCAGAATCGTCGACGTACTGGTTTATTTGGTAGTCCAGGAGGGTCTGGTAGCCGAGAACGTAAGTACCCAGTTGCTGCAAAGTTTAAATTATAATTAGGAATCAGGTAGTATCCGTGTGGTGATGGATTAAGAATACGGAGTGTCACCATCCCTATTTAACCCGTGGGTGTCATGAGAGCCGACTAAGGGGACTAATAACTTTGCAGGATAACAGCACTGGAAAGAGAAGGAAAACTTGATAGAAACCAATCAGACCAACCCGTCTGGCCAGTCTGGCAACGATGGCAGAAGGTTACGGCCGGTACCGGATCTCAAACCATCAATGATTTCAGGGTCTGGTAATCACCCTCAATCGGTGAAAAATAACGAAAGGATTGCTTGACCCTGGTTTCTGTGAGTCCTTGGTTCTCTAGTCGAGCCAGTTCCAGCTCTCCCACGGTTAAATACAGGTTTGTCTTTGAACACTGAAGAAGAATGCTTTCCACATACCTGAGTCAATGGACTAGTGTTGGTGGTGAAGACTCCCTTGAACCCCCTCTCAATGGCCACATTCATAGTGGCGTTCTCCAACGCTTGTATAGCTGCAACGTTCTCTTGAGCTGATAGGTGTTCTGCTGTCGCCATCATAAATGAATGGAGGATGCTCCCTGAGGAAGGAGAAAATAATAAATACTGCATAAATGGCATCTGCTGCTGCACGTTACGCTAAATGCAGATTAAAAATACAAAACTTTTTATCAAATGTTTTTCTGACGCGCTTGTGGGTATAACGTTTAGTGACCCTAACCACTAAGCCAGAGGTAGTGGGTTGAATTCCCGCCCAGGGCAATTAATTTTCAGGTGTCTAGTTTGGGATCAGACGGCCGTTTGGTTATTATAATCCTTTTTTGCAAAAATATACTTATGTTAGCACGTGGCACTTAAGATGCAAATTGATATAATTAAATCAAGTCTCAATAAGTTTAGTGTTTTTTCATAGTGCTTCACTGATTTAAATAGACCTAAAGAAAAATTGTTTGTTGTTTTTTTTTTTAAAAAGACTACGCCCGCATTAGAAATATATGATGTGTCGCGGGGGACTTTACAAACATACATGAAACAGACACAAAGAACACCCAGACTCAGAACACCAATTTGTGGATCACACAAAGTGTCGTCCCATGTGGGGTTTGAACCGACAACACTCAGCGTAGTAGGAAGCGGCGTGGCGACCGCTTAAACCACTACGCCAGTCGTGCAGTCAAATTGCCATTAATTTAAAAAAATGCACATTATTTAGGCAAAGGCAAAAGCATTTTTGGATGGAAAAAATCTAACTTCGTCTTTAAATAAAATATTTTTTTTGATTTAAAGAGTTTTCAGTGAGACTTACCCTTGCCTGGTGGTAGCATCGAGTCCCTCACGGAGCCCTCCACGAACTCGAGGAAGGTCATGATCTTGGTGAGGCCAGTCCCAGCTCGGGACATGTCCACGTCAGGTTCATCGCGCGCGTCGAAGTTCAACGCCACGGCTACTGCCGAGTCTGATGCTGAAGAAGAGCCAAGGTTTAGGAATTGTGTGAGGTAATCTTCGAAAGTGCTTAATAGATTTTGGTGATTCTTTCACTAATATATAGCTGCGTTATCTCTGAGTGCTATAAATTATATTCTTGTTCCTTGGCTGGTCAAAATATAAAATAAACTGGACCCTTCCGGACCCGTTTTTACGTAATTTTTAACTTTATAGCACAGTAGCATTTGCCCGCGGCTCCACCCGCTTGTATTTCGGTTATCGCAGTAAAAAACCTATGTTCTGCATTACAACTCAAAGTTTCTGGTATCTGGTATGAACCAAATTTCATCAAAATCGGTTCAGCGGTTATTGAAACCCCCCCAATCTTCAACCCCCCTCTTCACCCCATTAAATGATGTTTTCTGGGATAAAAACTATTCTATCTTCTTTGCCGGGAGTCAAACATCTCTATAGCAAATTTCATCTAAATCGGTAAAGCGTGAAGAGATAATAGACAGACAAGCAGACACACTTTCGCATTTATAATATTAGTAAGAATATTGTTTAAAATTCAGCTTTCTGGACACCTTCTACCCCCGTTTTTTTAAAAGAATTTACTTCATAGTTGCAAGAAGGGAGTAGAAAGAATGTCCAAGCCTCATTCCTATTCGTATAACTTAGGACTTTACTATTTCCAAGAACTCACCATCTTTTAAAACAATGCTGAGTTTAGTGTCCAGCAGCGATGTCCAGATCTCGCTGATGAGACCCGCGTAGTCTGTGATCTCGATCTCGTGCTTCAGGAACTGCTCCAACTCTGCTTTGTTGTAGAACGATGATACTATCATTCTGTCGAGAGAGAATATTGTTTTGGATAAGACATGGGTTCCTTTCGTCGTCAGGACCTTGATGGGTTGTTGTATCTGAAGGCAAATTAAGTAGGCTGTAATGAATATAAAAAAGCCTTTCACAGCATCGAAGAGAAAGAGAAAGGGAATCTCTTTTTTAAACAACAACTCAAGACATATGACACACGGCAATCTGATTCTAAACTTGGTAGACCCTGTACTACTGTCTACCTAGTTCGTTCTTGACTATAGGGTAACCAGACTGAAAACACACTTATATATTTATAAATATATACATCCTATAGATAAATGATTACACCGAGACACAGAATAAGCGATCCAGCTCATCCCAACTACATATTTTCCCTTGGAATCGAACGAACCCACAAGCTCTTAGTAGGCAGGGTCGCTAACCACTAGGTCAACAAGCAGCAATAAATTAACACCCTACCCCCCAATCTGACAATGCACAAAGACTTCTGTCTCTTGAGATACAGGTATCCATGGGCAACGATACTTACTCACCATCAGGTGTTGCTCGTTTGTGCCCATATACATGTACCATAAGAATTATTCCGTTTTAGGCATTGATTTGTTTAGACACTCATGTACCATAAGAAAAGAAACGTTAAATACATACTCGATAACTTTGTCCTTGTGCTCATCCGTGAGCGGCTCAGGAACGAATCGCGGTTCTTTATCACCAGACCCGTTGGTTGATTGATGGTTGGTGCTCATGTGAGACAGCACTTCACCAAGGTTGGAGGCTCCGAGGAAGTCACTGATATCTATAAGGATATGAATGTCATTATAGACGTAAAACGTAATGATATTAATTTTAGACACACTTTTTAGCTACTAGCTACTGTCCGTGTGGTAACGGATTAAAAACACGAAGTGTAACCACCCCTATTCATCCCGTGGGTGTCGTAAGAGCTGAGCTGTATCAAGATACTTTGATTCCGCGATAACCGAAATTTACGCGGGCGGAGCCGAGGGGCAAAGCTATTAACAAATAATCGCTTTTGAGATCGAGACATCTACTCCATCATCAACAGCCTTTACCAGTCCACTACTGGACATAAGCCTCTCCTTAGAAAGGAGGTTTTGGCCTACTATACCACGCTGGCCAGACGGGTTGGTATAGGGTTTGTGTCAAGTTTTCCTTCTCTTTGCAGTGCTGTTGTCCTGCGTAGTTTGTTCCCTCAGTCGCCTTTTACGCCACCCACGGGATGAACAGGAGTGGCGACACTCCGTATTCTTAATCCGTCACTTTTTTCTAAATCACAAAACCCATATCTTTAATGTTATAAATACTGGGAAAAGAGCAAACGTCTAATCTCATGGCATTTAACTACCGTGGCTTTATTTATAAGTGCGTTACCAGCCTTTTAGGTAGGAATACGCTCTTCTCCTCTTCTTCTCTACGCTCTTTCTTGAAGGTTTCAGAGTCGTATGGGTTCGAAAATACCGCAAGAAATTATTTTTTTGAAAATACCTCAAGTGGTATTTGTTTTTGAGATCTGTTGTCTTTAATTTTCTTAATAATAATGTTTTCGGACATCTGACACATCCATCTAGTTTCGAACTTAGCAGAGACTTGTACTATGAAAGCTAGATTGACTGCTAGCATACCTATAAACTTTCATTTTTGTAAATATAAACATATATTATTCTACATAGAAAACACCCAAGCTTCGAAACAAATATTTGAAGATCATACAAACATTTAGTCCGACCCAAGAAACAAACTCGAGACCTCAGCACAGTAGTCGCATACGCTAATTATGACCAAAATTATTCTTTCATTTCAAATCAACTTACCAATATAGTATCCCTTGTCCCTCAGCCTGGTAATAGTGTAGATGGAGTTGAGAGAATTCCCTCCAAGCCCGTAGAAACCAGAGCTCAGTGAGATAGCACCTCGTGCGGACCTCCCTAACACCTCTCCCACCGTTTCGAACAGCACTGTAGCAGCTTCCATGTCTTTAGGCCTCACACCGGAGTAATCCAGATCAAGAGGGATTTCGGAGTCGTCTATATTAAACATAACATTTACAATATAATTAGATGAACAATTTGTATCTTTATTTGTTATTAAATTTTGAACTTACTTTATGTGGAAGTTTAAGATTATTAAAATGTGTGCTGATCCATCTTTTATTTTAATATTATATTCATTTATATAATATATTCGAAGGTCAAACTATTTAACACACTGAACTTCAACCTTTTAACTTCTCCTTTCCTTTTATGCAATTTATTTTGATTTGATTTGTCAATAATCTACGGTCGGGACTGTGGCGCCCAACGTGGGACTTCTTACAAATCAACAATTTAGACGTTTTTATTCTTCATTCGGCATATTTAGAACCATTGTACTGAATACACACACATGGTAAATCATTTTTTTCTCTGTAATTCTTTCTCATATTTATTAATCATGTTAGTTTTTGATCTCTTAACAAAAATGAACTCTAAGCTAAATATTTATTTACGCGAATTGCAATCTGACCTGCTCGATGTTTTTGTAAATTTTAACTAAAATCCTCTAAACAAAACTATTACGGATATTTTAAAATCTTTTTTGGATTCAATTTTTATTTAGCAGTTTGTGAATTATGTAGGAAAATAAAAACTACACCATTGTTTCGTACACTCACCATTGTTATTGGTGTTCTCATACATCTTGAGAAGCGCTTGTCTGTCCACCTTCCCATTTACCAGCAAAGGGATTGTATCTATTTCGATAACCTGGAAAAAAGTGATAAAGATCTAAATGCACTAAAGTATATTTGATGTTATTCTGGAAAAGGTGAGAAAAAACACCAAGAACGGGAGTTCTTGGTGTCTTGGATCAGGAGATCCAGAAGCCTCGATGGTTATTCAAAGGTGCGACTATTGGAATAACATCTATACAAATAAATAAAATTAAAGTGTCTGTTTGTAATGTCAAAATAATAGGTTTTTTCATGCTCACACTGTTACTAACACGATACCTACGCCGAAAAACCAGTTTAGTTTTTTTTGTCTGTGTCTCTGTCGGTTTATTCCGGGTAATCTTCTAAACGGCTTTACTAACAGGTTAGATGTCTATACGAGGAGTAAGTTAGGCTATTTTTTCCTCTCAGAAAAACCCAATTTTATAGGGTCCGGGAATCGAACCCGCTAATTCAGCGTTTTTCAAATTCCACGCGAACGATGTCGCGGGCACCATCTAGTATATATCAATATTATAAAACTGAAGACTTTCTTAGTTTATTTTTGTTACATAGCCCATTTATCGAGGAAGGTTTTATACCATCACGAGCTGAACATCAATGACAAATGTTGCAAAAACGGGAACAATTTCTGACTGACTGACTGACTGACGAAAATGACTGCACGGATGGCGTAGTGGTTTAAGCGGTCGCCACGCCGCTCCCTACTACGCCGAGTGTTGTGGGTTCAAATCCCACATGGGACGACACTTTGTGTGATCCACAAATTGTTGTTCTGAGTCTGGGTGTTCTTTGTGTCCGTTTCATGTATGTTTGTAAGATTCCCCGCCACACTGGATATTTTCCTAATGCGGGAGTTGTCTTTTAAAAAAAAGAGAGACCAAGTTGCCCGGATCAGCTATATATTCAGGGTCAGTTATAAAAATTTTAGGCTCTATCTAGTTTAGGATCAGATGGCAATTTAAAATGTGAGGGTATAACTAAAACCGTTTTAGTTATACCCTCACATTTATAACTCAAATTATAACTGTAATCAATATTTTACCTGTGGAATCATATAATGTGTGAGCAAATTCTTCAATTTGTTTTCGATATGGTGTGCAGAAATTCTTGCTTCAGGTCTTGTGGTAACGAACGCTAGGATCTCCGGGTTACCGCTGTCTTGGCCATAGGGCAGTACCACAGCTGAGGGATTTAGATATTTATTGATAATTTTGATTAAGTGTATAATATTTTTAAGCGAATTTATACACATAGCATCCCATAACAATCCATACTTTCATACATCATCATCACATCACACATCTTTAATAGTCCACTGCTGGACATAGGTCTCTCCTTAGAAAGGAGATTTTGGCCTACTTTACCACGCTGGCCAGACGGGTTGGTTTAGGGTTTGTGTCAAGTTTTCCTTCTCGTTGCAGTGCTGTTGTCCTGCGTGGTTTTTTCCCTTAGTCGGCTCTTACGACACCCGCTTGATGAATGAGGGTGGTGACACTTCGTATTCTTATTCCGTCACCTTACGGTTACTTTCATACGTATATTATAAATTTTCTTATGTTTGTTACGCTTTCACGCCTAAACCACTACACCAGATTTAAAATTCTTTTATTAATGGAAAATTACATTATCAGCAAGTAACATAGGTTACATTTTACCATGATAGCCGATATACACGATTCCATACTAAATCGGTGCAGTATCAGAGTTGATTACTTTCCTACTCTTCCCTTCAACAACCATTCCCCACTTAAAACTAAGACCTTGTCGAGAATTGCGTATGAGCATCATCAGTCGTGAAATAACAACACAGCTAAGTCAGTTTTCTTCCCATTTAAAACCCAAATATTAATAACAAACCAAAGAATGCGAATAGCGAAAGTTTCGTCAAAAATCTTCAAAAATATTACCACTAAGAGCAATCTTTTATATAAAGTTGACAACAGAAGATTTTAAAATGAAGAAACTTATTGATTTGAACCTCTTAATAACAATGGGCTAGTTGACTCAATTTGAAAAAGCAAAATTTACATTACATATTTTGTATTTAAAAAAAAAAAACAATTTAAATTTCCCTTGTAAACGCTGAATAGTCTGTGTGTGTGTGTGTGTGTGTCACGCGTCTTAAATAACGTCACAGTCTGCGAAACAAAACTGTTTTCATCTGTGCCCAGTATCAACTGAAACTGTATTAAAAGGGAGAAAATATGCTAAAAACGAAAAACAATAAGGAGTAAGCAGAGTTGTATGAAAACGTCAACAACAACAATGATGTTTTGCGTGGCGTGACGTAACACTTTCTGATTGGTGTTCGCTGTCACGTGACTTAATGCCTATTTTGTTAAAAAAAATTTTAATATTAATAATTTTTAACTTTTATGAGACATAGACTGTTTTTTTTCTTATCTATGTCTCTTCATTTATAATTTGAAGCTATAAACCAAGCAATTTGTTATCAGTGGACATAAGTCTATTGTAAGTAAGGATTATAGTCTGGAACATTCTAAAAAAGAAAGAAGAATCTGAGATAGTCTACTCACACTTATCGACGCCTTCAATGCTGTTAACAGCTCTGTCAACTTCATGAAGATCGACTCTGTGACCTCTGATCTTGATCTGGGAGTCAGTACGTCCGGCAAATAAGATCACTCCCTTCTGGAGAACTCCAAAGTCACCAGTGCGATAGAGGCGAGCGTAGTCTGAAAGTAAGGAGTATGTCTATACAAATAAATAAAACTGAAGTGTCTGTTTGTGAAGTCAAAATAATAGTTTTATTTTTCTTGCTCACACGGTTCTCTTTACGATACCTATGCCTAAAAACCGGTTTAAATATTTTTTGTCTGTCTGTCTTTTTGTTTCGGGTAATCTTCAAAACAGCTTGACCGATTTTGATAATATTTTACTACCAGGTTACTGTCTATATAAGGAGTAACTTAGTATAGTTTTTCTCTCAGAAAAACCTTATAAAATTTTGCCCGCTCCAGGAATCGAACTCGATGCCTCATGGACTGCATTCGCATACCGTACTACACCAATAAGGCAGCGCTTTTCAAATTCTACGCGAACGATGTCCCTGGTACCAGCTGGTTTATAGTATTTTCGTTTATAGCGACGTCCTCTGATGAAGGCCTCACCACTAAGAGTTACATATATATTTGAATATGATGATTGTCACTTGATTGGAGTCAGAGTTTAATGCAGACCATTTGCTTTATTGCTATTTACTTCTAAACATTAGTAACACAGAAATATATTTAATACCAGAGGTAACAAATTTCGAAGATTTTACATCTTTTCATTGGCCAGTAGAAATTGAACTGTCGTTGTATAAACTTTTGTCACCACTTCAGGTCAAACTATATATTGGATCCCTGGAGCTTTTTAACGTAGCATATCATTAATAGCGTTGGTCAACTCATTTCGTAAATAGTAGTATGTTTGGTGTACATAGAATGCTTATTTAGTATTAATTCGTATGGGTACGAGGTTCTGAAGTCTAAGTTTCATTTCCCTTCGGAGACTTTTGGTCGGTATCTCCTATCCTCTCTATCTTGCCTTGTCAGTTTTCTTTATCCAGATTTATTTTGTTCCTTAATCCCATCTGAAAATTATTAAATTCCCAAGGACAATGCTCCTTGAAACTATGAGAGACACCAACAAACCTCGCAATGTTACTTGTTTCGGCGACATTAAATAAAATTCGGAAAAGGGATGGAAAATGACGTTTTCAATAGAAGCTTTTCATTCAAGTACCTGGATGTGAGGCGTGAGGGTTATCAATGAACTTATCAGTGCCTTGTCCTCCGACGTATCCTGTAGCCAGGTTACATCCTGCCACCCACACTTCACCTGGTTCAGACTCCCTAACAGGACACATTTCTTCATCTAGCAAATATACTGCACAGTTGTCCAAGGGTGCACCTGAAAATAATTACGGATTAATACGTAAATAAAAGATTATTATTTGATAAAATACTTTTTTATTTAAAGACTGTCATTCAAATATTCTGTAGGTAGCTTAGTGTCAAAAAAAAAATTATTTATTTATTATTGCTGATAAAATGTAACACTTGTGATTGTTTTTTGAGTAATAACTCCCGCACTAAGAATATTTCCTGTGCCGGGGGGGACTTTACAGACATACACGAAACGGACACAAAGAACACCCAGACTCAGAACAACAGTTTATGTATCACACAAAGTAATGACCCATGTGGGGATCGAATCTAGAACACTCAGCGCAGTAGGATCCAGCGAGGTGACCGCTTAAACCACTACACCACGCGTGCACTTACGTGGAGTACATTACGTATATTATACCTACCAATAGGCACGGTAGAATGATTATCGAGTTGGCTTTTCCTCTCCAGCACATGGAATGTCACATCTCCCATAACTTCGGTACTTCCATAGAAGTTAGCCAGAATAAAACCACTGTCGTCTCCAAAGTATTTAAAGAATTGAGATGCTAACTCTTTGCTGAGTATCTCTCCGGAACAGACCCAGAGTTTGAGGGATTGAAGTGGCTTTTCAGAGGGTTTCAGAGATAGATACATCAAAATGGAACGCAGTAGAGTCGGTACTAATACCAAACGTTGAATCTGAAAAGGAGAAAAATGTTAATAACATTGTGTCTTTTTATCGCCTGCTTCAAAGAAATAGCAGTGAGTTTTAGTATTGTTGTTCTTGTTTATAATACCTAAGGGACAATATTATAATAATTGACAAGTAAATTCTATAAAAGCTCATTTTATTGACATCATCACAAAAACTACTTAAAATTTTCTACAATAATGGAGAGTTAGAAAATACAATTTAATAGTATCAGATTACTAAATTTTTTTAGTTGAATCTAGAACTTATGACGAAAATATGACATATATTATTAAAGTGTATAAAAGTATGAATTAAGCATTTATTTATATTTGAAAAGCCGTTGCCGACGGATTAAGATACAAGAAAGTAGGTATGGAAAAAATACCTTATTTTCACTTAGCACTTTGACCAGCTTCTGTGGGTCTCTGGTAGTTTCTCTTGACAAGATCAGGAGCGTTCTACCATGTAGCAAAGGACCCCAAATCTCACAGACCGAGTCAACGAAGGTGAGAGCAGTCTTCCACACACACGTTGATTCGGTATCAGAGTAGGCGAATGTATGAAACTGCCACCAGAGGCGGTTGCAGATGGCTGAATATGACAGACGAACTCCTTTTGACAGAAAGTTATTCTTTTGTAAGTAATTATATTACATTAATCGGACCCTGCCACGCTTCGCTGTAGCAAATTATGGTTGCAAAACCATCTTTGAAGCGTGTCGTATATCGTGTCAAAATTTGAGCTTAATCGGTACAGAACTTTTTGAGTTTTTGAAGCGTACACAAACCAACTTAACATTTATATATATATATATAGATCAGCATTATGTATGTTAAAGGAGGCAAACGAGCAGACGGGTCACCTGATGATAAGTGATTACCGCCAGTTATGTGCACGTGCGACTCAAGAGTCACAAGTGCATTGTCAGAGTCAGGGGGAGGGACCCCGGGGTTTAGACGCCGGTAGTTTTACTCATTCTGTGAAAAGCAACGAAGGAATTGCTCAACACCGGTTTTCTGTGAGGAAGTGGTATCAGTATGGTCGAGCCTAACCCATATCCATCTAATTAATGTATTTTGAAAGACAACTCCCGCATTAGAAATATATCCTGTGTCGAGGGGGACTTTACTACCATACATAAAACGGAAACAAAAAACACCCAGACTCCGAACAATAATTTGTGGATCACACAAAGTGTCATCCCATGTAGGGATCGAACCCACAACACTCAGCGTAGTAGTAAGCGGCGCGGCAACCGCTTAAACCACTACGCCATCCGTGTAGTCATATGCCGAAACATGGTTCTCCCACCATAATATATAACAGTTATCAAAGCGAGTGTTTTCTAGAGCTTTTGCGGGGAATATGGGTTTGTAATATTCACAAGTAAACAATAACAAACGAAATTTTGAAGATTCGCGTAATTGCCTGAACGACGGTTATAATAATGATGTTCTATGCATTTGAACTATGTAACAAAGTCATCTAAATACCTTTAGGGACTCCAGTACTTCCAGACGTATACAGTAGGATAGCAATGCTGTCAGTTCTGGCCATTGATAATACTTCATCTTTTAATGGCTCATTTGACAGTTTACTTGCTTCGTCTGCCAGTTCATGGAAGGAAACAGCAGGCACACCGCACTCGCTGAACATAGTGGGATTTGCTGAAAGGCAAATGACAAATCGACAAATTAAAAATTGAATTATGCTGTTCGCCAAAGGTAACAACTTTGGTTGTAGGTTTTAAAGTGTTACCTGTTTCGTCAAAAACTATAAGCGCTGGTTCAGCATCGTTTAGAATGTGACATATTCTGGCTTGCGGGAAACTAGGCTCCATAGGGACATATGCTGCACCAACCTTCCACGTTGCCAATAATGTCATGATCGTTCTGAAAGTATTAAGGTAAATTATGTTTTAGGATTAGACTATTAATATGTTTCGAATTTAGGAAAGAATAATACTTGTATGTCACCTGATGATTTTTTATTAAAATATGATCAAACACGTTGTATTATGAAGAATCTACTTTTCATAACTGAAGATATATTTTATTTTTATTTTAAAATGGCAACTCACGCACTAGGAATATATCCTGTGTCGCGGGGGACTTTACAAACATACATTAAACGGACACAAAGAAGAACACCAAGACTCAGAACGACAATTTGTTTTTCACACAAAATGTCGTCCCATGTGGGGATCGAACCCACAACACTCAGCGTAGTACGACTGCTTAAAAAACTACGCCATACGTGCAGTTGATAAATATATATTAAGAAACTTACTCGTGTGTCGGTTGCATACACACAGCAATCACGTAGTCTCCATCTCTGTTGGTACCACCACATTCAACTCGAGAGGAAATGGCCCTTGCCAAGGCATTGGTACGTAGCCCCAGTTGTTTATAAGAAATTGAGTAGGTAATATTTTCATCTGTAATTTAAAAATAAATTGACTAAGACTAATTATTGTTATCTCAGTCATAACATATAGACTGGACACAGAAAGTCAGGACTAAGAAAGTTTTATGATGAGTCAGAAAAAACGCAACCTTCTGCTTATTATCAAAAAACATCACATCAACAGCCTATACTAGTCCACTGCTGGACATAGGCCTCTCCTTAGAAAGTCAAATTGTCACCACCTCAATTCATCCCGTGGGTGTCGAATTGTCACCACCCCAATTGATCCGGTGGGTGTCGTAAGAGCCGACTAAGGGAGCAAACTAAGCAGGACAACAGCACTGCAAAGAGAAGGAAAAATTGAAACAAACCCTATACCAACCCGTCTGACCAGCGTGGTATAGTAGGCCAAAACCTTCTTTCTATCAAAAAACATAAAATTGCATATCTAAGCGACTGATTAGGAAGAAAGAACTAACTAACTAACTCACAGGTCTAATTTACAGAGCTGTGAATTAGTTACCAACTTTCAACGATGAGAGTGAACCCCAAAGATTGTTACATTTGGAAATATATTAAGTTTTACAATGACTTGGAAAAAAGTATCAAGTATCTCGTAGTTGCAGATACATTTTTAAAACCTTTCCAATTATTACTATCATGCTTTCTTCTAAGGATGTTAATGGGTTTTCTTTACATATCTAATCTTGAATCGCTATAGAGAAACTGTGTTTGAGTTTGTCATATAAGAAACATTATGCTCCCTTTAAATAAATCACGATTTTCACGACGATGGAATTTACTCAAAACACAATAGCTATTATTTAAATTATAATTTTAAACAATATTAACAAGGGAACTGAATAAATAAATAACTACAGTTAAAGCAAAACTTGGTCATGCTATCATTACGTGAGATTCAATCACTAATTATCCAGTTTTATCATCTTGTAATCGTTATGACCTGATTCACTCATAAAATATTGCACATTGCTTTTTATTACTTGGTAAATACATGAACGTAGTCTTATTACATTACTAAAAGAAGGAAAACTAAACTTGACACAAACCCTATCCCAACCCGTCTGGCCAGCGTGGCCAAAACCTCCTTTCTAAGGAGAGGCCCATGTCCAGCATTGGACTATTAAAGGCTGTTGATGATACTACTTATTATTTAAATTCTCTTACTCTATTCGTGTCATCGTCTTTGTTTTGGTGAGAAGACTTTTTAATTCAGACTTGGTCTTCCTTTAATGATTTAGCACTGTCAACTGCTCTGAACCAATGTATTGCTAATAACACAAACATCAATTTGTCACCTTTTTCTAAACTACACTGGCCTGTACTTTTATATACCTATAGATTCGAGGACTGGATTTGACAAGACTATCGATCAGCATGCACACGTAAGTATGATGCATAAATGTGCCTTTAACAAGTATGAAACATTGTTCAAAAGCCAGCGCTGAAACAGGCACGGAAGGTAGCTTCAACCACAGATGAAATTTTACTATTGTAAGTTTGCATAAAAACTGTTTACTAAATTCTAGACGAATCACTGTACTGGTTCAGTGAGTTGGGATTAGTTCATCTACTGTATACTAGATTGCACTGCACATAATAGATGCTATGAAAAAAAATATGCCAAATGCTCTATTCGTTTAGTTCAGCTTGTTATCTACACATCTAAAATTACATAAACGCAGAGCTACTGGGGCTGCAAACTAGAAATGTTGGTGTGGTATGGTAGTTGATGCTTTTACATTTTAGGCACCAGCTAAGATTTTTAAATGGTAATGTGAGGAACCAGAAATAATAACGATTTGTGCCAATTCGTTCCAGTAATGGCAATTATCCACTTGATTAAATAAGAGAAAATGCTCACCTTCATATACCAACGCCGTGTTCGAAGATTCCTGAATTTGCTCTAAGTGTTTCGTCAAGGGTGCTGTCGGGACCACTCTCCTAGGTCCATTCACAACGGACATGCGCGGTAGGGAACCCATTGTTACTGCAACAAAACGAAGACACGTAAATATTATAGTATGTAGTTTTCTAAGTGCAGAGAACTAAAATTTTAGACCAATAAATGTTATTAATTTCAAAATTGTGTAAAAAAGGTAATAAAGAGCTATCTACGCTTTAAAATTGAAAAGTTCTGCACCGGTTTGACCTCAGATTTTGGCACGATATGCAACCTGCTTCAAATATTGTTTTTATCTATTTTTTACATCCGTGGTTGGGTACAGCTAGTGTATGTATTGTAGAAATTAGATTATCATGGTACGGCGGCTTATTTTTTTTATATGTTGCTAGTAAGCAACCGAAATGACTAGTATTCCCGTTAACCCCTCCAGCTAAGCTAAATTGCTTGTGTTAGGAGTGGGTTCACGTCGGTGGTGTACCTGACCAGGTTTCGAAAACTCTTGATCGCAAGTCCAATACCTTAACCACTAGGCTACCGCCGCTTGTAATCTGTTGTAGCTGTAGTCTATACAATATCAGTTAAACTAATAGGTCCTTGTAAATGAATTAAAAGAAAGAACATTAAAAACTTAATTAAAAACTCGAAGTTCGATCACCTGTAATCGCTATCTATGATCTTAATTTCAAAGTCAAAATATCTTTAGGTCGTAAAATTCTTATTAAATTATTTTATATCGTCTCTTATGTAGACTCTAAAGTCACACACTTAAAGGTTTAGTCAAATATTTTGAGAAGAAACGGCAAAAAAAAACACGCTCGCACTTCAGACTCAAATACAATTTAGGTACCAACTAAGACTCCGACGAGGTCGCAGAACGACCTCCGTCCTCCATAAGCGCAGGCCTGGGGGTGACAGGTGAGGCCATCTGTCACCCTAGCAGAAGCAGGCCGGGGTGGCGGCGAACGCGTTGCGAAGCGCGCTCACTTCCAGGGAGCAGAGGGAACATGGGGTTCCCACATGGGGGGGTCGTCTACTTGTTGTAGATGGCCCGAGGTATGTCGGGGCACCAGGGACTTCCTTTCTAGGGTATACCTGGTTCCTCGGCTATTAGTACCCGAGACGGCGTGCGGTTTTAGTCGGTTCGTGACCGACATGCCATCGATAGGTGGTACCCCAGGGGATTTCCGCACGTAAAAAAAAACCTACCACCTCCGAGTCCTTTAAATATACGAGTAGATGATATCATACAAACGATTAATAATATTACCTAGTTTACGTTTTGAAACCTAGATTTAAATCATAATCACGCCAAACCAAGAGTTGTGATAAATCTATACTAATATTATGAAGCTGAAGAGTTTGTTTGTTTGTTTGTTTGAACGCGCTAATCTCAGGAACTACTGATCCGATTTAAAAAATTCTTTCAGTGTTAGATAGCCCATTTATCGAGGAAGGCTATAGGCTATATATTATCACGCTAAGACCAATAGGAGCGGAGCACCAATGAAGAATGTTTCAAAAACGGAGAAAATTTATTACTATTAAGAGACGCAGACGAAGTTGCGCGGGTCAGCTAGTCTGATTATAAGCTGTAGACTGTTTCGTGCAATAATTATTCCCAATAAACAATTATTGTGAGTCAACTATTTATGAATTATCCAAGCTATTATGGAATTATTTAATGTTGTTAACAAATTATATGTTGTTTATAGGACAAAGGGTGTCTTGATCAATTGACTACTAAATTTTCTATCATTATTTCTTAACTGGAATAAATTGTTAAGTACTAAAAGGTTATGCCAACGGATTCTTTTGCGTTAATATAGTTTTTTTACTGTCTTCAAAAAAGAATTTCTGAATCCAGCTGTTGTGTTCTCTTTTATTGGTTACATTAAAACTAAGTCTTATTTCTATTATTATTCTATTATTATCTATAATATGTATGAATATGAAAACTCAAACTCAAACTCTCTTTATTTCATAAAATTTTCAAAATTGTTTGAAATCGTCTTTAAACTTAAAACAATCCGATAAACACATTCTAACCTTATTAGGTATACAAAGTAGACCCTGCCTTCCAAACTAGGTATTCCTGTAACTTGGAAGATATAGAGACAAGGGCAAGACAGGGGAACTTGGAAGAAGAAGTCTGGATTATCATAGTACAGTCTCTGCCCAATTTAGGATCAGAATGAAGTGAGTGTGGTGTGTGATGTTATTTGTTTATTTATTGTAGATTCACCAACAAATGTTCATAATCTACATATGCAAAACTAGCTGAACCTGTAAACTTTGTTTTGCTATTTACATTATTTAAAAATGTTTTTTTTTTTTTGAATTTCTTAAAATCCGTTCTTAGCTGACCTCTACTCGGTGAAAAGAATATTCCTACCAAATTTCAAGTCTTTAGCTCTAATGGTTCCAGAGATATCGTGATGAGTGACTATATACGTGGAAATCTCTTATATATTATTTGCTCTCACTGACCAACTAATTCATCAACACAAAGCCTTAACCGCTGGTCCTACAAACTTGAAATTTTGGCAGGTGATATTTTCTGTTATAAGGACCCACGGTGGAGAGATCATTAAAGGTATAACGATCAGATTAAAGGTATGACAATAAATTTAGTTAAGTTTGGAAAGTAATTACAGTTTTGTAATTTAATTTTGTACCTATTTATACAATAAAATTACTAAAAAAATGAGTCAGAAAACAGATTGTTTGATGGAAATTTATATTGAATCGATTCTTTACTGACAAGTAAATGCTTGCGTGACCAATTCATAGGGCCTTGTCTCACCTTGGGCCAGTTGGCTTTCAGTACAAGACGTTATTAATTAATTCAGATGCGCACATTATTATGATTATCTGATTTGATAAATCTTCATAATAATTGAATAGACGGTAATGTCAAAGGTAATTACAGAAATTATCATCATCATCATCATCAACAGCCTTTAATAGTATTACATAGGCCTCTCCTTAGAAAGGAAATTTTGGCCTACTATACCACGCTGGCCAGACGGGTTGGTATAGGGTTTTGTCAAATTTCCCTTCTCTTTGCAGTGCTGTTTTCCTGCGTAGTTTGCTCCCTTAGTCGACTCTTACGACACCCACGGGATGAATAAGGGTGGTGACACTCCGTATTCTCAATCCGTCACCACACGGACAGACAATTACAGAAAAGACAATGTTTTTATTAAGACGCCTATAGCAGAAACAGTAGCAGCAGTAAGCAATGTGTCCTTCAAAGAAGGCAGTAAATAAATATAAGTTTCGTCTTCGCAATTAAAGATAATAAAATTTATTTCAACAGAAGACAAAAACTCAGTAGAATTATTCACAGTGATTCCAGGTATGTTCCAGGTCCACAAATAATTGAAATTACCTTTAGGCGTCGTCCTAATTGGCCACGATCGTACGATGACACGATGCGTTCTCGTCGTGCGATGAGTTCAATCATACAGATTTCATCAGAGTGTCCTATTTGAACCTCGAAAGTAATCGTGCGAGCACGTAAAATGCTTAATAACGATCGTACGATGCGTTTGATCGTACGATCCTGTAACCAAAGCAAAAGATCTCTACGTATTCCATTGCAAATGTAGTCAAATGTTTCTTTTGACATGGACAAATAATCGTAAAAGTCTTCTTCGTTATTTCGTACATCAAAATAATGGTTGAAAAATTCACCGTGCATATTCCTAGATCTATAAAGTATATTATGTGGTCTACGTTTCCTTTTTTCAATGTCATTTGCAATTTTCAAATCAATATTGCCCGACAGTAAAAACTGTGCATCTCTGTAAAGAGCCATTGTTAATGTGGCGTTCTGAGCGCGACGATATCGCACGATGTGACATCGTGCGATCTATTAGGACACCTGTTGGATCATCGCACGATCACTTTGATCGGAGACGAAAAAACGCATCGCGCCATCGTACGATTGTGGCCAATTAGGACGACGCTTCATCCAAACCAGGTCATAACCTGCATTGTGTAGCCAAGTGGCGAGTCTGTGCTGCAGTCAAGTTTTTTTTTATGTTAGAGAGGGCAGTGGTTAAGGCATTGGACTTGCGATCAAGAGGTCGTGGGTTCGAATCCTGACCAGTACACTACCGACGTGAACCCACTCCTAACACAAGCAATTTAGCTTAGCTGGAGGGGTGAACGGGAATACTATTAATTTCGGTTGCTAGTAAGCCACAGTAGTAAGTAGATATTTTCTTTTAGTGAGTCTTAAAGAGTTTAAGAAAGACTTTTAACAAAAAAAAAACAGCATTAATCGACAAGATTCGAAGAATATCTTGTAAATCAATTAGAAAAAACTCTATAAAAAATAAAGAGCTCTTTTTTCATCCATTAATTGTTATTATGATCTTCAAAGCCTTACTTATTTTAATAAACTTGTTCAGCAAAACAGTTGGTATATTTTTTACCTCAAAATAAAAAAGACAAGTGAGACATCCATGTTAAGGATTCCGTATTAAACTTAATGGACTTTATAAACTACTTTCAGCATCATCAACATCAACATCCTTAGAAAGGAGGTTTTGGGCTACTACTTTCAGCATATGAGACGAAAATGTTAGGAGCGACCACCATTGTTCTAACAAAAAGTTTGAAGGCCAAGAATTTATTAGAACACATTGTTGACAAAACCCCTGATTCTGTCTTTTGTGTGTCAACGCAACTAATTCTACAGGTTTTGATTAGCAACCTTGTATTGAGTAGAAAAAACCTGAAGGCTTTAGTACAGTACTCACCACATTTTCAACTGGACATCTACCGATTTCGAAAAGTATAAATTTTATGTCGAATTAGAAATCTGCCTCCATGTTTTTAATTTTTTACTAGATGGATTTACTTTAGTGGCACGGAACCCTAGTGTTTTTTTTAAGACAACTCCCGCATTAGGAATATATCCAGTCGCGGGGGACTTGACAAAGATACATGAAACGGACCCAAAGAACGCTCAAACTCAGAACAACAATTTGTTGATCTCACAAAGTGTCGTCTCATGTGGGGTTTGAACCCACAACACTCGACATAGTAGAACGACGGTAGACCGCTTAA